GTAGCACTATGTAATCATTTATGATTATAACACATCTGCCGTGCCGATACGTCTGAGGGTTAGAGCGGCAGATGTAAAACATGTGGCTCAGGTTGAATTTCAAGATCTCTATTTTATTTTTAATCTCAACGGAACCTACCTACTACTTATATATATATATATATATATATATATATAATATTATATATATATATATATATATATATATATATATCTAGAGAGAGAGAGAGAGAGAGAGAGAAACAGAATCAGGTAAAGACTCATTTTAAAGTGAGGATTCGTGGACACCTTAAAAAAATTGGAAAAAAAAATCTTAAAAAAAATATACAAATCATAAAATCGAGCATAGATCTATCTCCGGAAGAAAAAAATTGGAAAAAAAAATTTAGATCATTAAAATTGAATCATTGATCATAATGATGCAAAATAAAAAATTAAAATTGAATCATGGATCAATTTTAATGATGTAAATTTTTTTTAGCAATTTTTTTTCTCCCGGACATAGATCTATGCTTGATTTTATGATTTCTATTTTCTTAGACTTCTTTTTTTTATTTTTTTAATTTGTCGTCACGTGTCCTCATTTTAAAATGAGTTCTCACAAAAACCAGACCCTATATATATATATATATATATATATATATATATATATATATATATATTCGCATGGAGAAGTTGAATTTAAATGTCACAATCGGTTTAATGTGCCTTTGTAACACTTCTTGCAGCTAATCAAATGATGGATGCACTTGTGCTGTTTTTCTAATTTTAAATTCCATTAAAGCAACATACCGGACTCTTTTTAATCAATATAGGCAGTGTAATTTGTATTATATTTTTAATAAACTTAGGTGTTTGTTTGTTTTTTTTAAAATATCTTTTCAGACCTTTTTTGTTGCGCGGCGCAGCACACATGCAACAATTACTCTTTCGCAGCAGTTTATTTTTTGGAAGGCTTCAGACTATAAAACTTATGCGCGTGTTCTGTGCGGCGCAACCTTTGACTTGCATTTTCAAACCTTTTCGGCTTTCATTTTTTCCAAGTGATTTTTTTTAGAAATTTGTTATTACTTTTTTTTTTAATTTGATTTTTTTTAACTTTGATTTACAAATTTGATACAATTTCTTTTTATAGTTTCCACAATTTTTTATAATTTGATTTTTAAAAAAATGATTTTTTTAATTTTTTACCTTTTCTGTTAATAATATTTTTGGTTTCGGTTGCATATTTTTTGACATGTAATTCCTTTACGAACTTTGTAGACATTGTTTATAATGTTTTCTTTATTTTTTTATATTCTTTTTTTATGTTTTTTTCAATTAGTTTTTTTCTAGAATAAAATTGATAGCTTCTTTTATATTTTTTTAGATTTTTTGTAGAAATTTTATATTTTTATTTTTTTACATGTTTTTAGTATTGTTTTTTTTTCAGTGTATTAAGACTAGAATTATTAAAATTTCTGTATCAGTTTATAGTTTATTTAAACTTCAATTTACTGTAGATGTTAAAAAAACAAACATGTTTCTTATTACAGTTATAACCATTTGGTCCACCTCTTCTGCAGAGAGTTGCAGAAGTGGTCCGCAGAATTCATAAATTTTCATTTCGAAAAAACAAATAGCACCCTAGTCAGATATTTTTTCTGTAGCAACAACAATTATCAGATGCTAGTTTTCTACCAATAATTTGTAAGACACATTAGCAACATACTATATTTTCTCTACATAAAATAGCAACATGCAAATTTTACCCACGATAGCAAAATATATTTCTTACGGATAATAACATTGTGTAACAATTAAAGCACATTTCCATATTGGCAACGATATTTAAGTACATTGCTATTACAGGTAACATATTGCTATTATCGGGAAATCAATATAAATACAATGGTATAATAGGGTGCTTTCAATAACCAAATAATTTGCATCTATGTTCACTTTCCGTATAGATATTTTTACTCCGTGTCTGAGATTCAAGAAATTCAATTTGTGGTAATCTTTAAGAACACTTACAATTTTAGGCACAAAAAGAAAGCAACATTATATGTTATGTTCGAAAAAGAACCAAATCTGTCGAAATAAAAGTATATATGCTCATACATCCAAAAGCGGGTAAGATTGACAAAAATGCAGTTTAAGTAGTTAAAAAACGGTTTCTATAAAATCTGGAAAATAACTGTCAGAAAATTCCAGGTGCCTGGAAGAACTGCCCAAGCAGCGTGGGTGCCTCATGCAACTTGGGTGTTAAGGCAGCTTGGGCTGCCATGTGGCATGAGATGCCAATGAGCATAACCAAAACTTGTCTGTTTCTTTCAATGTTCCTTCAACCTGAGCATGTTTCTCTGATTCCAGGTCTAAAGTTATGTAGAGTCAGCAGGGCCACCTCCATGTGCTCTACCCCTTGGAACCTGCAAGTGGCACTATCCCTTGACCCTGTCTTTCATTGTGTTCAGATCAAACTCATCTCATATACAGTGTGCACTCTGCAACACCTAATTTGTATTACATCATAGTCCAAATCCTAATTGTCACTCATGTTAATTCTAATTACATTAATTGACTAATGACACCAAAAGCACCAAAAAAAAAGACAATACATCGTTCTTCTCCACAATTTGCAATTGATACTGCATCACTCTTTCATACAAATTGACAAGCTTTATAATAATTTAATGAAAGGTTAAATTCACTAGATAGCGCCATAGTTTATAGCATCATACTTCCTTTTCTTCCTCTTGCAACATTGTACATTGAAAAAAAACTTATCCAATTATATCAATATCGTCAGATTAAAAAACATTTATCACTGATATAGCTGGCTGGACTTTGTAAAGTACAATGTCTTAATAAGGAAAAATAAAAGTACAATGCTATTAATTTTGGTCTTACAAAAGTGAATATTCTATAATCTATGTGATACACATTTACAGAACACCAACAAATATACTCAATAGCTATAAGTTAATGGAATAAGGGAGATTATATGTAGACAGTCTTACCTCCACCTGAGGAAGGGTAGAAAGGTTGCTTCCATAAAGACCCCAGAAAAAAAAAATACATGTTGACATGGGTGAAAGAAAGGAGGTGGTTTAAAATGCTTATACTAGAAACAAAACAAGTAGAGAAATATGTGTATATAAGTATATTAAGTACTCAGATGCACATAAAAATAATTTAGTAACTAAATACTTACTTTAGCAACCCAACTCTATGTGAGATGTAAATCATGTACATAATAGCTTGCTAGGTGTCTGTCATAAACAAGGAGCTCAATCCACATTGGAATTAGAACTCTCACACAACAGTTGTTAACCTGTAAGACTCAAACCCTAGCATGTTTCTGAAAAGATAAAGATACCAACCCCTGAACAAATTATGCGTTGGCCTTCTTCAGGGGACATTGTTGAACGGCATTGGAGTAGGAATATCCAAATACTGAATCTGTTAACAGTGTCTCGGCCCATATATGTAGTTCATGTCGTCTTGCATGAATATCTTCTTGGCCTATGAATTACAGCATAAAGCATACATCGTCATCTTTACTTCTTAGCCTGCCTCTTAATCGAGGGTAATGATGTACTCTTGGGAGTTTTTATATTGTTTTCTCCAGTTCAACCAATATCGCCGGACATACAGCCTCTAATTTGCATTAATTAATAAAAACATTAAAAAGATCCATATTCAGATGTATCATATGTCTTGATGACTTGCAAAAAGATCCATGCGACATAAAAACAGCCTTGATATTAAAAAGAGACTAAGATGAGCATGCATCCAGCATATGGGACAGAAGGTTTCCGAGACAAGCCGAACTGATTGAACTCAGATGCAAAGCCTGAGCACGAAAAAGAAACAACAAATTCAAAAAGCCACATATAATTCCAATGTGGATTTAACCCAATGGACATAGTCTATATAAAATGGTATTAACCCAAATGGTTTTTATATAGTAGTCAGGTAGAATTGCCTTGCGTGTGTTGACTGCTTCCAGATCATCGGAACTCCTAAATGCAGGAAACGGTCCAAACGTTATTATCGATAATTGTCCAATAGAAAAAATGGAAAAAGGAAATACAAGATTAGCATGCATCAATATGTATTAGTAGGATTTCAAATCTCGCTCTTCAATTCTGTGATGGTACAATGCAAACTCATAAGACCATGTGCTGCCTTCCTTCACTTTAAATATCAAATTTTGTTTCATATTCTACAATTTAAACAATGATTCTAGTTGAATTTATAAGACTAGTATTTTCTGATTCAATTATTGTCGGATCAAAGTTCAAAAATCCGATCAAAATAAAACAGTTTATGGACAAAGAAGAAGAAGAAGAAATACTTCTTACAACAGTTCTCTGCGAATCGGCTCCTGCTCTCGGTGCCTGTGTTATTCAAGGTTTGTATGTAGATATCTTGGTCAGAAAAACACAGGATTGAAATTCAAGTGGTATGGATCCAACAATACGCAGGCCTTTCAAGGAAGAAATGCTGTGTGGAAGACGACTTATTCCTGTACACTTTATATTTAACTCTTCTAAACACTCTAAACTTCCAAGTTCCTCTGGCAATTTCTCCACCTGATTGCAAAAGGGGAGATCTAAACATCTCAAACGTTTCATCTTACAGATGCTGTTTGGAATATCCTCTAGAGAGATACACTTTGTTAGGATCAGCTTCTCTAAACATTCCAACTTGCCAAGATCCTCAGGTAACTTCTCAAGAAGCATACAAGATTCAAGTTCTAGAGATTTCAAATGCTTCAACATGCAAATGCTATCCGGAAGACATCTAATACGTGCAGACAACAAATTTAGCTTCTCTAAACATGCTATTTGGCCAATATCGTCGGGTACCTCCTCAAGAAGCAAACAAGATCTAACTTTGAGAGATCTCAAACGTCTCAACATACAGATGCTATCTGGAAGACGTCTAATACCCGTAGACAGCAAACTTAGCTTCTCCAAACATTCTACTTGGCCAAGATCCTTGGGTAACTCTTCAAGAAGCCGACAAGACTTAAGGTTGAGATGTTTCAGATGTTTCAACATACATATGCTATCCGGAAGCCGTTTAATACGTGTAGACAACAAGCTTAGCTTCTCCAGACATTGTAACTGGTCAACGTCGTTGGGCACCTCTGGAATAGAGCCATCCAACGTAAGGTGCCTTAGGCGTTGTAAACCAAAAATGCTTCCTGAAACACTCTCAAGTTTTGTGCAAGGCTGAAGATTTAGAGAAACACTCTTTTGACCATTTTCGGTCGATGGGGGATGTTTTTCAAGATAAAAAACAGGTAAACTGTAGCTTTGGCAGATTATCACGGGAGTACCTTGGAATTCTCCCAAGGACTCCACAATCACCTCTAACTTAGGTAAAGAAAGAAGCTGAAGCGGTTCCAATTGTTTGATAAACGAAAAAGATCTGAACCTTGAGCAACCAATTAAGTTCAAGTATACAAGCTTTTCTAGAGATCCAGCAGGCGCTTGAAGTTCTCTCAAATCATAACATCGATTAAGGTTTAACCTCTCAAGATTCGGAGTCATCCCAAGGTTGAGGGTCCTCAACTTTGAGAAACTAAGGTCCAGGAACCTGAGCTTCTTAAGAACCTGTCATATGCAAAAAAGAACAAATATAAGATAAGATGACTATTGCAGTATGAACGGACATCATTTAAATGAATCATCATGCAAAAGACATATCAACCGTTGTACCTTTCTTTCCCCGCTTTCCCAAAGTTTTGTGATTCTGCTGCTAGGCAGTTCAAGTCCAACAAGGTTATTTGCTTTAAATGTTTGTGGTAAAGACAAAACAGGGTAACCCTCCCAACTCAGAAACTGTAACGCATTTGGAAAGTATTGTTTAACTTGATCAAACTTCCGATGGGTACCAAAATAGTCATCATCTATCTCAGAGAGCAAAAGAACTCTAAGTTTCTGCAGATTTCCAAGCCCTTTCATAACGATTTCAGGACTCAGTTCCACCTGCTCCAGTCGTATACATGTTGTCGCATCAGTACCCTATAATAGTCCAAAAGCAGCCACCATAAAACTTGTGTCATAACTAATGAAAATGTGTTAGTTTTCTCCAAATTACAAGTAAATTTTATCCTTACCGCATTATGGGACAGCATATCTTCAATTTCCTCGCGAATCCACAGCCGGCTGTGTTTGTTGGGCTCACGGGGGTGCGATCGCCGAACGATATTCCTGCCCAATTCTTCTATCCTGTCATGCATGCTCAAACGCTGATTTGAAATAGTTATGAGAGATTTCTGCTCAAGTACTGATAAACCATATTAGCATGTAATCCACAGCTTTCAAGTATTCTAATTGCATCCTCTTTCTGCAACCCCTTCATGAAACATGCAACATCTAGAAATATTTCCTTGTGATCATCCTCTAGGCTGATATAGCTTAGTTCCAATTTTTTTAGAGTTTCTTGACTCGGAATCGTTTCTAGTCTTTTTAGTGCATCCATCCATAGAAACTCTCTTACCACGCAAAGAAGAAGAAGAAAGAACCCAATACTTTGATCGTTAGAGGAAGACCAGCATAATTTACAACTTCTTTGACAGCCCTTCATACCCTTGAATTGGAATATATCGCCCAAATGCATGCCTACTAAAGAGGCAAATTGCTTCCTCATCCGACAAGAAATTGACATTATGAATCATATTCACTCTGTGTGCTGTCAGCACTTGCTTGTCTCTTGCTGTGATGATAATTCTACTTCCGCCCTTAACCAATTAGTTGCACCGGCTAACGCCTCAAGCTGGTCAACATTATCAACATCGTCTAGAACAACAAGAACTTTTTTACCAGGAAGACGCATTTTCATCATTGGTTTCCCGTCATGAAACACTGCTTACATCCATGTCTTCATCCTTAAATATATCTAAAAGGACTTGTTTTTGCAACCAACACATACCCGACACTTTTGAAACTTCCCTGATGTTTCTCTACAAAGCTTTTACCTTCAAAATGAAAAGATATTTTATCAAAAATAGCTCGGGCAAAGTTGTCTTCCCAATGCCCCCCATCCCCGCGATCCCTATCATGCGAACATCATTGTTCCAACCAAGCCCTAAAGATGACTCCAGGTCTAGCATCCGGGGTTCCATGCCTATTAGATTTTCATCATTGCTCAAATAAATAGGGCGTAACTTGAGTAAAATTTGTTCAACAATTTCATTGATGACTTCAGCTTCTTCCCTGTAGAGTAACAAAAAATTTCAGGTAGCTTTCTCAAGATCCCACATCAAAAATTCGTTTTAGGTCTATAACATACAATCCTCTGCCTAGTTATTCCATGTTTCATCTATCTAGAAGACTCAATTTTGAGTTATAATTTGACAATACAACATGAAGTTGACCTTTCTACATCACTAGAAATAAACACACCAAAGAATAGTAATGCAGAGTATGATTAAGAAATTAGGTACCTGTTTCTCATATCCCACCCAACAAGATGCCCCGCTTCTTCCACCGCTCTTCCCATTTTCCAACCTCTTCGTTGCTATGCTTGGAGAAGGCTCCTCCAACTTCCCCAATTGTTTACGGATTTCCGACAGATCCACGTCATAATAGATTGGGTAAGCAATATGTTCGATCTTTCTCTGGCACTCCATAATCTTCTCAAGTTCCTTCAAGCACCAAGACGAAGAGATAGCATGTTTTTGGAGAAGACAATGATAAAGAGCTTTGACTCTTCGATTGCTTTGAATAACTCGTCTATCTGTTTTCCTTTCTCAAATTCCTCGTTATCCCTGAAGGTGGGAATACTTAGCTGGTTAAGAGAACCGTAAAGATGATCAACAAAGGTCCTACGTGTGTCCTCTCCTCTAAAGCTCAAGAACACATCATACTTAAAACTCTTCCGATTAGATGATGTTGAAGATAACGCCATTAAAATCCTCTGAAAAGGTCTTCTTATATAAATCGAAGCTTTCTTTGGGAAATTCCTAAGAAATAATTGCAAAGAAACTGCGAATTAGACGCGTGTTCACACAACATAATAAGCCGCAAGGAAGATCGGAGGAAGCATGAAATGGGTGAGATGTGACAGCCCCAACCCTCTGGATACTTCCTTTGCTATTAGACAAAATTGCAAAATTCCTCTGGATTTGCTATCAGACAAAATTGCAAAATTGGTCCTTAGGTTAGCTAAAAATTGTTGTTCTTTGAAAAAAAAAAAAAAAATTTGGACCAGTATTTATGTCCATTAAGTTTTCATTTTCTTGTCACTTTAGTCCAATTTACTTTAAACTTTATTGTAATGACGATTTTGTCTTTGTTTTTTGTTTTTTAGGTTTTTTATTTATTAAAATACTTTTATAATTATTAAAAGAAAAAGAAGAAAAAAGAAATCTCTCTACTCTCTATCTCCTCTCTCTCTCTCTCTCTCTCGCTCTCTCTCTCCTCTCTCTCTCTCTTCTCTCTCTCTCTCTCTCTCTCTCTCTCTCTCCATACACTTCAAACTCCAATGTCCTTTTTCCACCATCATAACCACCACCGGTCCACATTAGCACTGCCACTAACACCAGACGCCATCACCAGTCGAAAACTTCAGTCGTCGGAAAATTTAACTAGCTCCGGCGAGATATGATTTTCCGGCAAGAAAAAAATTACAGATAAGTCTCGAATTTGATTTCCAACGAGAAAAAATTACAGGTGGTGAGTGGGTCTCAAACTCCCTTTTAGGAATAATGATTTACAGGTGGGAGGTTCTCCAGAACTCGAATAAATATCAACCCAAACTTAAGATGATTGTGTGTTTTGTGTTCTTGTGTTTTTGGTATGAACAAATAGAAGCCCAAACGTAAGATCTGGAATCATGTTCATAGTGAAGCAAATCAAAATTGTAACGACCCAAATTTTTAAAGAAATTTTTTCACTTTTTGATTAATAAAAGATAACTGCTTAAACCATAAAATCCCAACATAATTGTTTTCAAATCATCGATTCATTACAACTTATTCAAATCATCAGAGTGTCCCCAACCCAAACAGTGAAAGAGAGTGATAGAGTGCACGTCGCGTCATCACGCCTTGCCCTTGCCCTTAGGCTCAGATGTACCTGAAACAATCAACAACATGTAAGCGAAATGCTTAGTGAGTTCCCCAGAGCATACCACACCACCACACATACACATATCCTGTTAGCTAATTAAAGCTACACACATATCACATAATCCATGCATACATAAAACTTGTAATAGTGCAATGGGCTACCCCGCATGGTCTTTACCTAGGACTGCCATGGGCTTCCCCACATGGTCTTACATCCAATGTCATGGGCTACCCCACATGGTTTTTACCTAGGACTGCCATGGGCTACCCCACATGGTCTTACATCCAATGTCATGGGCTACTCCACATGGTCTTTACCTAGGACTGCCATGGGCTACCCCATATGGTCTTACATCCAATGTCACGGGCTCCCCTCGGGGTCTTCATTCAAAACACAATCACATATCATATCAAATCACATAATGACTAACACATATATTATAATCACATAATGGGCCGGCCTTGGTGCCTTAGACCCATAGGTATGGTGTGACAACCTGAAATTTCTATCTTGTACAACCATTCACTTTAATAGAAGTCATAATTGTTTCTGCTAACTTTCAAGCTTTTTGGAGTCAGTTTGAGTGTTTTAAAGTTAGTACTTCAAGAGATAACTGGAGAGAGGATGCCCTAGGGTTTATTGTGCATCAGTAAGGTCTCAAAACTCCAAGAGTTTGGAGTTTACGGCCTAAACATGGAGTTTACGGCCGTAAACTCCAAAGAGTATAAATATGACACTTAGTCATTTTACTCATTTTTTTCACACTTTCAAAAGCTAGAACATCAAATCCTCTCAAGTATCATCCGATTTTCCTTCTTGATCTTCAACTTGGTAAGTGTTTCTTGCCCTAATTAGTTGATATCTTACTTAATCTAGTGATCTTACATGATTTCATCCGTGAAATCATTCCATTTGTGTAGATCTTCAAGTGTTCTTAGTTTCACCAAGAACACCAAGAACACATACTAGTGTTCTTGACTTTTAACACCCTTTCAAGCTCTTTATTGTAAGTACTCTTACCCTAGTGTGTTATAAAGGCTTGTTACACTTCTTAATCAACTAGAAAACACAAAGAAACACAAGAGCAAAGGTGTTTACGGTCCAAACATGTTCTTGGACCGTAAACCCTAATGAAAGGGCCATTGTGTGCCCTAGTCCCTTACCAAGCCTTGGATACTAGTCTAGATCACATCCTTGAAGTGTATAGGACCTTAAACATCGAAAACATCAAGGACCATTAGATTTTACGGTCGTATACTCATGGAGAATGGTCCATGGGCCGTAACTCAACAAAGGGGTGAAATGTTGCCACAGTCACTTCCTAAGGCTTAGACTTGAAGTAAGGATGATTCATTATGACTTTTAGGACTTCAAAACACAAAATGGTAGAAGTACCATGGGTTTACAGCCGTAAACTCATGGGTTTACGACCGTAAACTCCATGAGAGTTGGTCCCAAAACCGTAAACTCCAAAAGAGTTTACTCTTGGACCTTAAACTCAAATGCAAGGCCCTACAACCCTTAGATGCAATCCTTAGTACTTATAACCCTTGAATCAAGGTGTTTTTCATGTCCTAGAGTGTCTTAACTTGATTAATTAGTTTTAAATGACTAATGGATACATATATGTGTTATTATGTTAACTAGGATCCTTGTGTATGTTCAAGTCTTCACTTGACACTTAGCATCCTATACCATCCGTTCATCCAAACCACTCACTACAGGTGAGTTCATACCTCTAAATCAACCTTTTAAATTATTTTAAATGCTTTTATGGGGGGATACAAGTTAAACTATTATAGTTATTATATCAATCACATGTGATTAATAACTACCAAACAAGTGGATTTCTTACTTTTCAAACTGTGTTATCAAACAAACTACTTCAAACTGTTTTACAAACTCGTTTACATGTCAAATACTTTTATTAAACCCTTTTAAACTTACATTTTGTTAAATGTGTATCTATATAGATATAGTTATATAAGTAGTATTGAAAGGACTTAGGACTGATAGCTCACCTTACCTCCTGTTCCTTGTTTGGTTGTGGACTTAGGGTATCAGTTGTTTGTCCGAGGGTCGTTTGAATCCTAGTTATATATTATGTATATGTATATAGAGATAAAAGTTCCTTCTTTCAATTCAATGCATTTGGGTAGCAAAGGTATACAAACATGTTCATACATACGAACCATATTACTAGTAAACTATAATAGGTGTAGTTTAGGAAGTTACTAATACTATCACTAGAACAATGAAACATACAATGAGTCAGTTCATACATGAGTCAATACCATACAGAGAGAACATAACATACAGATAGAGAATACTATGACGAGAAACAAACAATACCATACAGAGAGAACATACACACATACTAGACAGAGAGAGAACATACAATACAGCTAGTACATACAATACATATACTAGTGCACTAATACAGTTATGTGAGCCACGTAACGGGGCATGGCATCACCTGTCATGGCTCGTTTTGTATCCAGAATCTCCTTAAATGGAGAGCGTTGAGTTTGTGTATAGATCTATACTGGATTGACTATCCTACACCTTGCTGCTCGTTACAGTGGGACTTGCAAGTCTACGGGTGCCAAACGTTATTTCTTCCGACGTCTTACATCGTCGTGTTTATAGTCGGTAGTATGGTACAGGCCAATCACATGGTACTTTAAATAACAATTGGTTTAAGGTAGTTAGTACAGCAGTAGTTACTTAATACAACACTACAGTACTATTTCATTTTCCCATTGCATTCACTTTGTGATCTTCACACAATAAACAGAAATGTAAAAACTATATTTTTGGTTAATGATAGTCAGATTTGGGAAAATACATACTCTTACAAGAGACACACACACAAACACTTGATGCCTTGGTAGAAGGCTACTTTTAGTAGGAAACATAGGGTTTTCTAGGAGAGTTCAAACACTTACAAACATTTACAAACTTATACATTACATACTTACAAACACTTTCATACAAACACGGACACTAATATACTTATGATCTCACCAGCTTTAAAGCTGATAAACTCTTCCAAAATAAATTGTATTCTCAGGTCACCAGTAGACAGGTACCAGTGCCAGGTTTTGAGAAGATGGAGCTCGTTCAAGACTCATCTTTTATTTTGATTCATGTTTTTGGTGTCTATTTAACTTGACAGAACACACTTGTATTAAATTATATTATTAATGCAATGGATGATGTTGTTGCTTGTTTACTACTTTGCATTGTTGTGATAATGTACATGACGTCCTCCACCCCCGAACGATTCCGCCGTTCCGGTTTTGGGGTGTGGCATATGGTGAGAAGAATCACCTTAGTCTGCTGAACACAAAAGCTGCTCTCCTAACAGTCCGCAACCTCCCGAGCTGGACAATTAATATTAATCAATGTTAGGACCTTAAGTCAATC